CCCGGGGGATAAAGCGGTAGAGGCGCAAAGCTGATCAGTCACCTCCATCTGGTGCTGAAGTTACGAAAGCTAAGACCTATACATCCACTCCTCCATACTTCTTTACGATATGATGCTTGGTTAATTTGTTAAGTGTCGCTCCTAAACGGTATACCTGCATGTGCCTTACAAATATCACATTATGAATATAATAATATGGCTTATTCCGTGATACCTTAAGATATAGCTTCTAGCTTGAATTTGATGTTGTTTCCAAACGGTATATATGATTTACAAATCTCACATTGTGAGTACAGTCAGACGGCATTTTCCATTATGGCTTAATGACATTAGGATATCACTTGAGTTTGCTCATGCCTTTCCAAAACGGTATTAAGTAGCTGTATCCATTAAGAATAGGCCTATAATTCCGTACATAAGAATACACGAACATAAGTCTTCACAAAAAAACACTTCGGCTTGCTTGCATGGACTCCTCACCCCCCAAACTTCAGTGTGTGTCCCGGACACTAAAAGAGCATTACGAGATTTGGCACACTTCGGCGGGTGCCACCGGCCGTGCTAGTAGGAGGGAAGCTATTAGGGAGACACGTGAGCTTTGTAAACGACAGAGAGGTGCGTGTTCTTGTGATACTGAACCGGCTTGTGGGTCAGGGTGCGGGCTAATGTAAGGGGGATGGAAGCCTGGCTGTCTGCTAGAGGAGTGATTTGTCAAGCCCACTCGACGTTAACAATGTGCTTGTGGTGAGGGGAGGTGACAAATGGAAACTGAACGCTCACTAAGAGATAGCATCATAAACAGCAAGACCTCCACAACCCAAGTCACCGTGACCTTGTATACAAAGGTCCGCAGATCGCGTCATGAGGTTTGATGTTCTCCCGATCTCAGTTTCATGTTCGTTTATCATGTCCATCGAGTGTTCCTCGCATGCAGTGCATAAAAACGCATAATGCTGTGGTGCGTCTGCCTGTCCTCATGTCTGATCTCAGAAACTAATAAACGGATTGCGATAAAATTGAATACAGGGATCTACACCAACATTTAGTGAATTTAACTTGGCCTCGTACGGGTCCAGTATAATTATTGCTTTATTTGACACTGCTTTTCGTGAACGCATCTGGAGAAGGTGTATATACCATAAGGGTACAGGTTTCTATTTTTGACGGATATCAAAGTATGGAAAGTCTAGATCTATTTCCCACACGCCTATAAATAAATAGTTCTATCACTTTATGTGAATACAGGTGAAACTGAGAGTGTATGAACATGAAACGAGTCAGAATCTGGGACCAGTTTAAGCCTTTAAGTAAGGCTATGATCACTTAAGATGTTTCAGTAGTTAATACCAGGACAAAAAACCTAACGAATGAAAGTTAGCTTTACTATTGAATTATGACGCTATGAGCATATTTAAATTTGTATTATTTGTTGGAGCTTGCTGTTCACTTTAAACATAATCGTCTCTTTTCGACTTTCCAAAACTCTAAAGATATAAAAATTAAAAAGACTATCTTCAGAACTTTTTTCTAAGGATATTGTATTTCATTGAACACTATATAATTAACTAATTCGAAAATGACTCATGAGTCATGACATAGAATATATGTAGGCCTCTGTGGACTAAGGGGAATCAAGAAGCTGCGAAAAATCATAATTTTAATACGTATATTTTAGCATGAGGCTAAATAAATCGAAAATGTTATTCTGGAATGGAGATGTTGATCGGCTTACGAATATATGGAGTGCATGCTAAATTATTTTGTTTCTAATATCTATGAAACTGGAGACTACTGACAGAAGTGGATTCAACACAGGCTTAGAATGTGTTCAAACAGGACACTGAAGGAAACACTGGAACACAACAAGATCCTAGACGCCCAAAGAAGAGATTAAGGAACCACTTATATACACAGAGGTTAGGAACAGGTAACTAAGCCTAATCCTGTACGGTTCATGGTGACGATGATGCTGATAATGACGATTATTGTAAAAAAACTAATCCAAGTAAAGCCGATCACAGTGGCCGCGCGGTCTAGGGCATGAACCGTCTTCGCCAGCTTGGACACTGCGATCATGGGTTCGAATCCCACTCCAAGCATAGATATTTGTCTGCGTCTATTCTATGTTTGTGTCGTAGGTAGCGACATTGCGATGGGCTGATCCCCCGTTCGAGGAGTCCAATCGACTGTATTAGGATTAAGAAACTGAAGTGAAACAAAGTATGTCACGAATGCCCTATGCTCCAAAGCGGGAGGAACAGGAAAGAGCGATAACAGAAGCAAATATATGTTTGTATGTGCTTGACGGCATAACTTGTTCCCAGGGCTTCATTTTACAGTGTCACATACATGTGGGTTTATGCAGACCCAGGGTGAGTTGTGAATAAATTGACACAAAAACATTCCTTAAAGCTTGGATGTAACATGTTACTTAATAATGCAGCTACAGAAAATGGGCCAATAATCGCTTTAACTTACGCGGTACATGGGTCCAAATTCTACCCTGATTGCACATACGCTTTTTTCTGTAACAGATCTTTCGTGAAACACAAACTACACGATTACATTCACGAGTGGTACGTATGTTTGAGTAGTGTGCGCCTCGAATTAACGCGATGGTTATATTATTCACACATGTTTATTCAAGATATATTTCGTAGCGTACATATTGAATGCAGACCTGCTAAAATATTGGTTCATATTTAAAACGGTCAACACAATTTTATATGCAAAGCTATCACTTATGGGGCAGTTCAGGTGTTCCAGAATCAGTAACGAGTATGCATATTGATAAAACTGCAAATGAAGAAGGCAAGTCCATTCTATTACGTTACGAGTAAACTGCCCAAGTTACAAAACTGTTGGAATTAGTAGAAAGTTATTTATTTTGCAATGCTACTTTTTAGATAAGGGAAATACCATTTCACTAAATGCTATACTGCAGTATGTACGATGAAAAAAGTCCTCTGTTCCTATTTTCAAGCACGAAACTAAAAGTAATTCATTTTGACGAAAGTACAGACTTGCATTCATTCGCAGTATTGCGGTTACAGCGCTTCTAAATAGAGTAAATCCTCGTTATAACGGACTACTATTTGGGGGGGGGCAGAGCGTCCTTTATCGGCGTTGTCCGTTATAACAGGATGAATGGGTATTCACGAAAGTATATCATAGGCTACACAGCCAAAAGACGATATAAATATAGAAACACGCAATGTGATTATGTAAAGGTCTTTACATTGGGGCTCTTGTTTCTTCTAAATAGTTTTATAACTACGAAACCTCCTTAGTACCTCAATATCTTTAAACATTCACAATTTCAAAGTGCCAGGTTTTTGTTCGTTATGTACGAAATCCATTATATCCGGGCCTTTATACCGAAGGCATACTGCATTAAGAGCTTGCACTGCGTATAGACATGATCAGCAAGATCTTCCATATTGGGATCCTCAGATACTGACGTAAGGGACATCTGTGTATCTGTGGTGAAAAAGCAAACAGATTGGATTCACATTCCAGGAAATTCAAGGAAGAGAGAAACAGAATACTGGGCCAAGCAGCCTGAAAATACTCCGTGACTTATCACAAATCAGGCTTTCTTCTTAATGGAATTTGTGTGGTCCACGAAGTCCAACCCACGGTTTGACGCATGATTCCACAATAGTGTCTGGTCACACAGAGTGAATTCGTACAAATAGAATAGTTCATGAAATCGGCGTTTTTCTAGATTAGTTTGAAATAATTCTGATAAACTTAAAATCAGAATAAATATTCTAACTGTAATTGTTCCCCAAATATTTTGTTCATTCCAGTAGCCAGTTTAGTACAAAATTACCTTGGCTTCGTGTTACTATAATAAATTCATTCACAGTTCATAGGCTGTCCACACTAATTTGAATTCAAACGTGCTTTCCTCCGTAAGTTTTATTAATAGCAACACCGAAACTGCGACACCTCAGAGGCGCCATCACATGCGGATTGACGGAGGAGATGGTTACTAGCAGCTAACGGTTGTTACTCCATTTATAAGAAATTTGTTTCGAAGCTTTTACTTTCGTCTCCATGACGTGTGTTGCTTTTAGTTCTAGAAGAACATGAGTACTGGACTATTAAAACTGATCGTCGACAAAGAAATTTAAAAACAAATTCGGCCTAACCAATTGCTGAAGTGACAGTGGGTTCTGAAAATCCTGAACACTCGGGAGGCAAGGATGAATATCCGAGCTCCTCCGTGTTTCGATTTCCTACGCAAGTAGGGGCCTCGTAGGTCTATACAGTGGACTGCGAAAGCGTTTGACATGTCAATTGGTCTCTTTTAAGTTTCAAAACACAGACATGACTCACGCGCGAGTGTTGTGTCAGCTTGGTTGCATCTACAGTCAAATGCATCAATGCCGGTCAGCTACTTTCGCAATGGGTATCTATTGCTTTCTTCTAAGTAGGCAACCTGTACGTACCAACTAGCACACCGTTCAGAACGACCCTGATACAAATAACCACGTACAAAAAAAAAACAGTTATATAAACTAAGCAACCAAAAACTGTCAAGTAATGACTTTGTACATTAAGAAGTTTTGTATTGTTGCATCACTGAGTATATTCTGCTGAAATTATTAGGTGCCAAGTAATGAAGTTTTATAACAAAATTTTAACTTTAAGGAGAACACAAATCTACACAAGATTTGGCGGCTTCCATGGCGGTGAAGAAGAGGATTATGATCCACCTACTAGACTACACGGTGTCATAATATAGAAGACCATAACCCAAAGAATAAAATCTAAAGCTCACTGTGAATGGACGGCATTTTACACCGTCAGAATTTCTGATGGCGATTTCTTAACGGTGCATCTTAATGTTACAGACACAACTGAATATAAATGACGAAGTCCACAATATGTAAAAGATTACCAAATAGTAGTGAAACTGTACAGAAACACATTTCACTAATGAGCAGTTTACGGATTAATTAAATATACAAAGTTACCATGTTGTTACTGACCTTTGGTTATCCACGTTTGTCTTCTGGTTTAAACGAATGATAAGCTAATGTAAAACTCGCATATAAAGCTCGCACATTTCAACCTGCACAAACACAACAGACCACACATGCAATACCCGTCACACCACGTGTCACGTTACACACACACTCGAATGCATCCACCTCGCCAGCACCTAGCGGGAGCAGCAACCAACAGCAGCGGCGGTCTGTCTGGTGGAACTGCAGCAACACGTCCACTCGGTGCGGCAGCCAACGGCAAACTGCACCTCCCCTATCGTTGCTCGCGCCGCGATGATCCAACAGCTCGCTCCGGTGTTGTGATGACAGTTATACAAGAACCGACATACAACAATAGGGCCCATAATTGCCTTTTACTCAATGGACTTTTCGTACCGTATATCTTGCGCACAGGAAAAGCTATTGTGTGTACCACAACCACCCTCACCCCTCCCCCCCCACTCTACCCGTTCATCTGCCGTCCTTTTCCCGTGACAAGTGATTTTGAGCCTTATGGAAAATTCCATATAAGTTATCCTCTGGAAAGACGGTGGTAGTTGTATTGGTGTGTATAATAATATGACTGCTGTATAGAAAAGCACACGCTTCAATGATTTCAATTACAACCGTAAACGAGTTTAATTATAGGCATTCATTGATTTTAAATTGAAGTTTTATGTAGGGGAATGACTTTGGCCTTTCATTTTCATATTTATAAAATTCCGTGAAGTGATTCCATGGGAAGCTCATCAAGATATTGAATTACTTTAAAAAAACAAAGACAACTTTCGCTTAAAACTTTCATTGCAAATTACAATCATTGCGTTCTATAAATTTATTTCAGTTTATAACTCGCCATTAGAGTGAAGAGGGTGCAACTCAGCATACGACTCAAGGTCCACAGCTTGTCATCCAGAGCGCTAGAAACAAGTTTACAGGTTAGCTAGTTGCCATGGGCGCAACGTCACGGAGCAGATATGGGCATCATCATCGCAGGACGAATAGCAGGACAGTCAAATGGGCGTGTGATGAGATTTGTAGAGGAAATAATACCGTCTAATGGGCCAATTCATATTTTAAAGAATACGAAACATGTTTATATATTTCGATTCATTGTCTCCAGAGCAATCTTTTGCCTCTCTTTTTATGTCCTCGGTAAAAGAACTGAAGAACTGAACTGTGTATCCAGACTGTATATGAAATTTCAGTTTGTTCAGTAAAACGCTTGCTAATAGGATATGGACTTGTGGGTAGACCGCATAGCCTAAAGCTAAATTTACTAAGTCACTGTAGTACTTACACATTTCCAGCCCTAAAAATCTTACTTTAAGTAAAGGAAGTTAAAAAAAACAGTTTAACTTATGGATTAGTGTGTTAAATTTATGAACAGAGAGTCGTAGGATCGAAACTTACTCAAGCCAGCTTCTTATATTATTTGCAATTCTGAATTTCTGCTTTATCTGTGGTTTATTTCGCGATGCTGTCTGCACATCAGATTACAGACATATAGCGTTGAATGACAGGATGGTTACTGAATAAAGAACTGCAAATGATTTGGAAGGAACTGGTCGTAACCCAGTCGCGGTTCAATTCTAGAATATGCCCAGAATGACTGAGAAAACCCACGAGAGTCCTCGGGCAGTACAGCCAGTGTTCCAACCCAGATTCCAACCGAACACGTATGGAATACAATTCTAGGATGTTATGGTTACCATAAACATGCTCGGAGCAGGTTACAGAGCATGTTGTTTTTGTTTCGTTGTTGTTGTTGTTGTCGTCGTCCTCGGTTTTTTGTTTTTGTTATTATTGTTGCTGTTGCTTCTGCTGCTGCTACGTAAACAAACAGATAGTTTATTTTTATTATTATCATTATCATTATCCATGTTGGAGGGGATGCGGTCGCATAGTTGGTTGAGACACTATGCTACAAGCTGGAGGGTCGCGGGTTTGAGTCCCGACGATGTCGTCGGGTTTTCTCAATTGACCTATGGCACTATGGCCGCACTATGGCCCTGGGATCTACTCAGCTTCTAATAGAAATGAGCACCCACAATTTTCCTGGGGGGGGGGGTAAAGAGCAGCCGGTGGCTAGAGCTGACAAAATCACCTCCGTCTGTGGGCCGACATGGACCTGAGATCCATAAACTTATTCACTCTATTTCGAATAAGGACAAAGTGCATGATCAGTGGAAGGAATCTATTATTGTGCCAGTTCACAAGAAGGGTGATAAAACTGACTGCAGTAATTACCGTGGGATATCACTGTTATCAACTTCATACAAAATATCCAATATTCTCCCGTCAAGGTTCAGTCTATACATAGACGAAATTATTGGGATCATCAGTGTGGGTTTCGACGGAACAGATCAACTACGGATCATCTGTTTGCATTCGTCAGATATTGGAGAGAAAAAAAAAGGGAATACAATAACACAGTGCATCAGCTATTTGTAGACTTCAACAGAGCCTATGATTCAGTTACGGGGGAGGTATTTTACAATATTCTCATAGAGTCTGGGGGTACCCATGAACCTAGTTAGGCTGCTTAAAATATGTTTAAACGAAACGTATAGTAAAGTATGTATAGTCAAATATTTGTCTCATAATTTCCCTACCCAGAATGGTCTAAACAAGGAGATGCTTTATCGCCACTCCTTTTCAACTTTGCTTTAGAATATGCCATTAGGAATGTCCAGGGAAACCAGGTGGTACTGAAATTAAACGGGACACATCAGCTGTTGGCCTATGCCGATGATGTGAATCTACTGGGTGATAATATAGATACCATAAAAAGAAACTAATTTTATTGACGCTAGTAAGCAAGTTGGTCTAGAAGTAAACATAGAGAAAACTAAGTATATGTTGCTGTCTCGTCACCAAAATGCAGGGCAAAATGATGACAGAAAAATAGGTAACAGATGTTTTGAAAATCTGTCGCAGTTCAGATATTTGGAAACGACGATAACAAAGCAAAACCTGATTCAAGAGGAAATTAAGAGGAGATTGAATTTAGGTAATGCTTGCTACCATTCAGTCCAGAACCTTTTGTCTTCTCGTCTGCTGTCTCAAACATAAGAATTAGAATATACGAAACTGTAATTTTGCCTGTGGTTCTGTATGGGTGCGAAACTTGGTCTCTGAAAATAAAGGAGGATCATAGACTGAGGGTATTTGAAAACAGGGTATTGAGAAAAATATTTAGACTGAAGAGAAATGAAGTGACGGGAGGTTGGAGAAAACTACATAATGAGGAGCTCCATAACTTGTATTCTTCGCCAAGAATAATTAGACTGATCAAGCCAAAGAGGATGAGGTGGGCAGGGCATGTAGCACGAATGTGGGAGAAGAAGAATGCGCATAGGATATTGGTGGGAAAGTCAGAAGGAAAGTGACCATTCGGCAGAAAACCTGAAGGGAAGTGACAACTTTTAAGTCTTTAGCCTAAATGAATAATGTTGTAGCGTGTAGACCAGTTACTATGTAATGACCACGAAACAAACAACGAAACAAAGCTCGCTCTTAAGCAGCAGTTTCTTAACAAGCAACAGTTGAACAACATTCAGGATCTTAGAGATCTGAGAGAGACAGGATGGGATGGTATTGATTGGATTGATTTGGCTTAGGATAGGTATCAGTAGAGGGCTTTTCTGAACACGGTAATGAACCTCCGGGTTCCATAAAATGTTGCGAAGTTCTTGAGTAGCTGCACAATTAGCGGCTTCTCAAGAAGGGCTCGGCTCCGTGAGTGATTATTATTATTATTATTATTATTACTAATACTACTACTAGTACTACTACTACTATGACTAATATGGAACTGCAATATTTCTGTTAAGACATATTCTAAGTTAGCATTGTTTGAATGTATTTTTGTTAAGTCTGAATTTAAATTATTTTTAATGTGATGACTGTCATGAATATCTAGCGGAATTTAGTTGACTAGGCCTACTTATCGACCAATCATATCGAAGGCATGAAACAAGATAGTAATTTAGATTCAACTTTGCCAATACAAAAGAAGCTTATTAAAAAGCAGTGAGTTATAACGTAAATCTGTTTCAAGTTTTCTTATACCGACGAGATACAATTTATTGTACCAGCCCCACATGATAGGTGAGGGTGATTGTGGAGCAATTGGTGGAATGAAGATTGGCAGGGGAGACCGAAGTACTCAGAGGAAACCTGCCCCAGCACCACTTTGTCCACCAGAAGTCCCAATTGACCAGACACGAGATCGAACCCTGGCCGCCGCGGTGGGAAGCGAGCGACTAACCGCTTGAGCTATGGCGTGACCGTTTCTTTATCCTTACAGAAATGTAAAGCCATCCCTGTAAAATGCCGTGGAGTCCCATAGGGTTGTGAGACGTCGAGGCTCCCACATTTTCTAGACAATCGGCTCGCAGATGCCGGTGAAGTTCTCATCCTTACGAGCTGGCCACCTTTTACCCCAGGATGATTTCCTGCTATTGATTTCTGTTAGAGGCTGAGTCGACCCAAGGCCATAGTGCGACTAAAATGATTAGGTAAATTGAAAAATATCCACCTCATTGGGACTCGATCCCGCAACCTTCCGGCTTGTAGTAAAGTGCGTCAGTCAACTACGCTACTGTGTGCCGTACAATAATTGTATTCATACCTAATTTCATGAGGGAATACGGTCTCGAATTGGTTACTTTATATTCGAATCATGTGTTTCTACATGACACTACTGTTAAACTGAGTGTTGAGGTCCTTCTGGATTCATCAATGAGAAAGTTGGTCTCTCATGAACGCTGTAGAAAATTCTACACTGAGAAGCCTTGTAATTTGTAGGCTTCGCTAGATATTGTTAGGATGTTCAAATCAAGGAGGAAGAGGTGGGAAGCGCCTCCAAGAGGTCAGCTTCTGTCGAAAACCTGATGGACAGTGACATTATTTATGTGTTATAATTACAGTAATCCTTAGTGTGTTATAATTAGTTGCAGTTACGAACTGTAAGTTGCCAATAAATCGATTCGCCAATCCAAACCCGCGTCTACGATCACTCCAATACGTGACAATATGTTAAAAGGGTTGAAGATGGACTGAACTGGCTCACGAGCGTGTCCTATGACGGACTGTGAATTGAGAGCACTTAACTAATTAAAAGTTATGCAAATCATTAATTTTTAATTTCATTAGAACTTTGAAATGTAGTCAATTAAATCATACTCGTAATTACTAATCAAAATTTTTTATTCTCGGAAACGTGCCATGGATTGCCTTCAGAGAT